AAAGTTATGCCCTTCAGACAGATGACAACTTCTGGTGGAGGAACTTACAAATGAAATCAGACATACTTAAGTTCTCTCACACGCACCCAGATAGACATCGAGAGACACAAAATAACAATTAAACATCAAGCTGACAAACTTTGGAACAGCAAACAAACAAAACTACATAGAAGACAAGTCTGGGCGTGGAAGAGGTACGGAGGTAGAGCCTTCAAGCAGGACAAGTCAGAGCATGTAGAGAAGTAGAGACAACTTTGAGAAGCCCTGGGCAAATAGCAGATACAAGAGTTATATATATATATATATATGTCTATGTAGTTATATAGCCACAAAAGATGCGCCGCAGCGATGTTTGAAACTTCGCGCCAGGATGCGACTCAGGGACAAGCCTGAGAGGGTCTTGTGGAAAGGGAAAGGTTATGGGGAGGTAGAAACTTTGTTAGCGAACGTGACATGAAAATCGCTGAGCTGATGAAAAATACTAAATCGTGACGGGAATCTGCAAATCGACGAGCTGAGTCGTAGCCGAGTCGCCGAATCGTTTGAAAAACTTGCAGCGCTGTCAAATGCGGCTGCGGATACACGGGCAGACAGACACGATAACTATGCCTACAGAGGAGTGGATATGAAAGCAGGCAATAGTAGAACTCCCTGGGAGATGGAGATCCCCAAAAAGAAACTCGAGATCGCGATGGAGCTGCCAAATATAGCCAACTTCATTGGAGAGTTTATATATAGGGCAGAACTTCTGTTTGCTAATGGCTTCATTTGGTCTGGCGGACTATGAATCTCTGTTTCTGGTTCTCTTTCTGTGTGTGCTGGCTATGCCCCCGGACACTTGATGCCAATGCAGAGCACATCAGAGCACAGCTCTTAGTGCACTTGACTTCGCCTGCAGCGTTTTTATCGGTTAAAAATATCATAAAACGATCCACCACACACACATACGTATGAACGGACCGTTCCTCCATCTCCCTCTTGCTCTCTCCTGCTATATATATCTCCTGCCTTCTCTCTTGCACTGCGTTGTTCTAAAAATACTTAGAAAAAAAAAAGAAAAACACACAGATCTCTGTTGTTCGTTCCGGCAACACATTTGTGCTGCAGCTACGGTTACGTGGCGATGCCACTGCTCTCTCTTTCTATGCTCGATTCCGTGCGATGTCTTCCGAGATCTCCAAGTTGGTCTTCCTCCTAGACAAAGGCTAATGCACTCTCCGCGGAGACATTCAATTACCAACGCATCGGGAATGGGTAAAGAATTTCCCTGACTTATAGAGATCGATGCACGTGTAGTCCGATGCACACTTTCCCGCCTAATTGCTCTCTAAGTGGCAAATATGTTGGGCCCTGATGAACGGCCTGTCAACTGGCAGTCGGCAGTTGGGAAGACTCAGCATGGGGGGACTAGATATGAATAAATGCGTGTATTTTGATTCTTTAGATTGTCAATGTGGGAGGTTCCCCACTTCAACCTGAACAGAAATAGGGAAAATGGGAAACTCATCATATAAAATTGTCTATTAATTATGACACGCTGAGTGGCAGGAAGAGCTGTTGAATCTAAGAATACTATTAGCATCTATGAAGCATGAAGGGAAGACTTTGCCGGGAGCAATGTAAATCACGAGTTAGAATATTTACAAAAAGACTAAAATTAATCCATAAATATGATAAGATTCACAAACTACGCTCAAACAAATCGTCTAACCACATTAACGATCTACTACAGAAAATACACACAAATCGTAGAATTGATTAAAAATGCATTTGCAGCATCCACAACTTGTTGAAAGTGGTTTTGCGCCGAATGAAGTTTGCGCTGCAATTTGTTCGAGCTCCGACTGTCGGACTCTCTCAGACTCGTGCTTGGTCACTTTATTAATTTTAAAATAAAATAGCACAACCATTAACAATGCACCAGCCAAAGTCCACTAACAGCCAGGAACCACAATAGCAGAAGGCATCTAAAAAACAGTAAACAATAAACAAAAACAGGAGCACGGCGCACAAGGACAAGTCGACATCAGAGCCGTGGACAGCAGCAGGAGCTGGATCCAGGACCAAGTACAACTGGAAAGCTACGACGAAATAAAACATGCTTACTTACACAATGTTGAGTACGTGTAAAACATATACACGAGCATCTACAGTAGTTACTCCGGACACACCACACCACACCACACCACACTATACCTACATACCGTATACTGCTGCGATGCACTGTAAAAAGCACAAAACTTAGTCAGCCAGTCAGCGATGCGATGCTGAAAGGCAGAGCGAGAGAGACCAGGAGCGAGAGTGAGAGAGAGCGAGAGAACTTTCTTCGCACGCTTTGCAGTCATTTGGAGCATATGTTTCGAACATTTTTCATAATCAAAAAGCTTTTAGCGGCGGACAGTGGCAATGATGGCCAGAACGTCGGCGAGGATGCTGCTCATGCCACGCCTTCCTGCCGCTGCCGCTGCCGCTGACCCAGCCTCAGTCCCTGCCACAACCACTCCCGCTGCTGATTCCTGGCCAAGTGGAGCTTACTGTCCGTTTCATTTTCGAGTGCAGCAGCGTGTAAAATCGCAATAATGCACAAGATTCCCTGCCCAGTGGCCCTTTTCCAGGGATAAAAACTAAAGAAAAATGCTGGTTACTAAACGAAGCCTAATCGGGAATACTCTACCGAAAAACTTAATACAGAATTGATCGAAAATGCAGTTCAATTCACAGTAAATGTCAAATGCCTGTTTAATAATTTTCAATCTTAGACACAAGATTTAACATCATATCCTGTGGAATTGTAGAATCGCTTTGTTAACTGTCTAAGAACTAAATTAAAATAAAATAAATTCAAGAATTCCAATCCATTGGAAAACCATTCGTACCCCTCAAACAAGGGTATATCCCCTTGACAAATACAAGCCAAAGCGGCAAGCAGAAGCGACAACAACCACTGAAACAACAACATGAACAGAAACATTTGTCATGGCAATTGATTGCCAAGAAATCCAAAACACCCAAAAACAAATTCAATTTAACTCTTAACAAATAAACGGAAAAACAATGCAATGCGAAAACGAAATGCAATTCAATTTCCATAGGCATAAACATATCTAGCAAATGGCATTAAATTACCGGGGGTTACAGAAATGAAATGGAATCATTCGATTATTATTGCAATATTTTCTGCATTTCGGTCCAAAAACCGAAAATACAATATTTATTTGCCGTTGACAGTGGAGGTGGAAGTGCAGGTGAAGGGGATTTGACTTTTGGATTGCACTGCACTGTAAAGAGTCTGGCAAAAGAGCAACCTTTAATATGTTGTTGGCTTACATTTTATTATTACATTTCCGAATGCTTTTAATTGCCTTTCATTAATTTGTACGCAATGCCTGTCCGGTCCTTCGTATGCAAATAAATTGCGCATACTCCTCGCTCTTGCCACATAAAGCACAGCCGTGCCCAGCAGAACTGCAGTTGAATGTTGCAGCCGAGTCTTTGGCCTGGAAGTGAATCCGTTACTTGGTACGGCTTGAAATTATTCTCTCAAATATTTGCTTGGTAATTACAATTATGCAGTAAAAATTTGAATAAAATAAGCAAACAGATAGAGCGAATTTGTAATGTTTTTTAAGACTATTTAATGGAAGTCGCACATTAATTTCTTAGACTGCCAAGACAAAAAACTCATTTACGGGAGCATCACACATATTTCAATGCTTGTAGTGCCGAATTTGATTGTGATCCAAAAAGTATGCCACAGCAGAAAAGTTCCAATTGAAATTGAAGAAGCAAGCCACAACTTTATCCGATGCTTAGTGAGCCTCTTGTCGAGAGTTACTTTTCGATAAGTGTGTGTCTGTGAATGTACTTGGCTTCGTTTAAAGTTCCAGCAGAAACCAACCCGGCACTGAGGTCATAATTTCTGGTTAAGCTGAGCGTAATCGGCACTTTTACCTAAATGGACCATAAGGCGTTAAAATGTTGTTATCGTCCCTCACAAAATGGGGGCCCAGGCCCACACAGACAGTCGTTCGTTCCACACCTAAGCAGCAGTCAGCCCTCAGCTTCCAGCCATTGTCTTGGCCAGGCCAAGACTTACCTTTGGCAAAGCAATAAAGAGGAAAAATACATTTCGATTATGCGGCAAAAAAAAACATTTCTCTCCTTCTTTACTGTTGCTTTTTGTTTGTATTTTATTTTATTTTATTTTATTTCTCTAAATTTCCTAGCGGCCCTCAACGACAATTGAGAGCGCGAGCGGTAGAGCCAGAGCTGCGGCCAACCCTTAGACCAGCTTAAGTGAATCGAATTTCCCGTACCACTTGCAATAAAAGAAGAATTTTGGAAGAATATGGCATAAAATATAATTTGCTTGAAAGCCAAAATATGCTCACTCGGTGGGAATGCTTAATGGAGTGGCTGGGGATGTGGTTATCATTTTTATGGCCAAAGTATTCCATTTGTTGTGCGACAGTAATAAGCCCGAAATTGATATCATTTTACCCCAGAGCATGTGTAAGTATGCCCTGCTCTATCATTCATTCTCGTAATTTCTGTTTAAACAGATTTCGATAAACAAATGTTTATATTTAAAATTAGAAATTATGTGCTGTGGAATAATCGGATCTGCGCTATGCTGGTAAACTTTTCTTCGCCATTCCATTCGAATAATAGAAAATAGGAATAACTCTATTTTAGCTGCCTTAATTTGGGGAGAAAGGTGCTGTTTTGTATCATCTGTTCATCAGTTGGGTTTCTGGTTTTAGGCGCTCTGGTCATATACTTTGTCTTCTTCCACAAGTCGGGGAAGACGACAAAGGCGGATGCAACTGCTGCAGTGACGACAGTCTCTGTGGCAGTTAGAGCAATGGCTCAACACTTGTATAACCATCAGTTAAAGCAACATTTATTCGACGATGATGTGGATAAGGAGAAGGATGCAGAAATTATGGAACTTGATGACTGAGTGTTTCATTCCAGACTATGCCTACACACATTCAGCACACATCTATCCACGCCTTACCACTCATAGTTACATTTGAAATCTATTCTATTCAAATGTCCTTCTGGAAACTAATCAAATGTGCCGTACGACTTGTTGTCGCTGCGGCACTACTATACATTATATACGATACCCTTGTGATAATTAACTATTGCATCAGAATTCTGCGCAGAGAAAACTGAGGCTGAACCTCAACTAAATGTGACCAAAATGGAATTCTATGCGGTAAGAGCAATTATTTTTATGAATCTGCATGTTTTAATTATTTAGTATTTCTTAGCAGAGCAATGGCTGTTTTTGTCAAAATTCGCAATGTTTTTTTACCTTACCATTACGATATTATATATTTGTGAATTTTGAAATATGTTTCAGAAAGTTAGCTGCTGCTCTGTGCATAATAAAATGATGTAAAAGCTTGACTGTTGCTGGAATATTTTTTAGACATTTCATACATTAAATACAAAATGCCCTCTTTCCCATATCACGTTTTATGCAATAATCTTCCCACCTCGTATAAATTAAAATCCACCTCAATCCCAAAAAGGACAATCCCGGACAAAGCACTGGCATTTGGGTAATCTTCAGGTTCTGCCCTCCTTTTATTGGCTTTCAATTGCGGACCGGGAATGGAAATCAGTGGCAAAACCCGCCAAACCATCAGTGGAGAGTGGCGGCTGCCGTTGTTGTTGTTGTGTGAAAAACTGATGCCAGTAGTTAACGGTACTTTGTATGCAAAGTACAAGAAGGAGAAGACAATGAAAGAATATGGAGTGAGAGTAAGGAAGAGCGGAGAGCGGAAGTTAAAGCGCCAGAATGCGGAGCAGTCAAGTCCCAAAACGAGAGAAACTCCAGAGGAAGACGTCTGCCCCTGGCCACAAAAACCGTTTTTTGGCTGCTATTTGATTATATAAAATGTTCCCTTTTTTCCTTACTGTACTTTCAATGTATAGCCATGTGCCTTCAGCTGTGCTTGCTGCTGGGCACTTTATTTGCTGGTTGTAAGCGTTTAGTGGCAAACAACTGACAGCTGCCGAAATGACGGCGGGCATTTCCAAATCGTCCGAGTAAACGTTTAGTTCCTCCAGCTGCTGCACAGACTGCAGTATCCGTCCGGGTGCTGCCAGCGTGTCTGTGATGTGATTAAGATGGTTAGTCATTCCATTTAAGAGCTTGCCCCGAAGCTCTGACTTTGCCAATGATGGTGGGAAATGAGGAAAGGGCTCTTTTGGTGCATCACCTATTTATTTTCATCTATGGATCGTGATTGCTTCGGAAAATTGTAAATTAAATCAGAATTTTCAACAGATATTCAAAGTATTTAAATATAGCAAATATTTTAATAAGAAAGGCTTGATTAGACATTGATAAGAAACACCTTTTTTGCCGCTCTTGACTATTTCTTTTTCTGGCAGGCAAAATACGTGCTTGATAAGCAACAGTATCATGTCATTAATTTCTTTTTTGTTTCTTTTTTGTAGCCACTACCTAAAAAACGCTTCAATGAATTTGGATTCATTTGAATGGATTTTCGGTTTCCTTTATTTTTTCATTATGTGAAGAGCTTCGTCCACATTCCTTTCCATCCAGACTCAGGCACCAGCACCAGCAGCAGCAGCAGCAGCAGCAGCAGCTCCATCACCATCTCCGGTTCCCTTTCGACGATTTTTCCGTTGCCTTTTGCAACATTTGAGCACTTGGTATTTGGTATCTCGCCATCTATGAGGTGGCAATCGAGAGAAGCTGTGGGCAAGGGGAGGGACTTTGCCATTACTTCGATTTGTTTCTTATTTAAATTTTGTATACACTTCAATAGGAGAAAAGAACGTTAAGTGGCTTTGTCGGTTGCAAAAGCGAATTAATGCTGCTGGGTGGAAAAAAAAGTAAAGGAAAATCGCTGCGGTTTCCTACTCTAATGCGTTTAATTTATATCCATCCTCTCCCTTCCACCCACAGCCAAGAACAACTACAACAAAGAGAAGTAAGAGAAATGGATGGTGCGGAATGGGTATATATATAAAAATATATATTTATTTTACAGCTGCTGCACTTAGATGTGCGATGGCAATAAAAAGCAGCCCCAGCAAGTGGCATTCAACACCTTTTTTTCCTCGCTGCCCCACCGATTCTCTATTTCTGCCCCAACCAGAAAAGCTTAATAAACAAACGACGAAAATGGTCTAAGTTGGGGGTGGTGAGAAGGTGGAGTTACGCTACTGGTGGATGCCTCGGTGGTTGAACCAGTGGATGGGGAATGCGGATGCGGATGCGGATGCGTTATAAACATTTAAGTCCACAATTTGCACAGACTGTGGGGGCAGGGCAGAACAGAGCGGGCCAGAACACCCAACCCGAATGGCAGTACTCTGCTCTCTGCTCCACTCCGCACCGCTTCAAGTGTAACCATGCGCCCAGCAGCCAAATGCTGGCCAAATGCAATTTTCACGTGCAACCGCAACGATATTTATGCCACTTCAGCTACAAAAGCAACGCCAGCACCAATTTCTACACTACTCAAAAAGTAGAAGGATTAGCAGCTGCTTATATGATGTCAATAAATCATGCTTAACTCTAAAATCAAATCCACTACAAAGTGGATTTAATATGTGTAAATATGTGTGATTAAAAACAACATAAAACTACATATCAGTTTAAAAATCTATTTATTTATTATTTTAGTAAGTAAGTAAGGAGTAAGTAAGGTTTTCCTTTCTAACGAGAAATTATAAAATGTGATACAAAAAGCTTCTCCGCAAAAGTTTTGTATTTAGCCCAGAATTTCTCCAAGTACAGTAGCAGGTGGAACAGCTGCTGGCAGGGTATGGCCACCCAACTAACTGACAATGGTTGACACCGCCTTCCCATCTCCGTGAGGCATCCAAGCACCCACAGAACTTGCCCCACCCAAAGGCACAGCTGCACCCTTCGCCCTCATATCAGACTATACAGATGTGTGTGCAAGGGGGGGGGCTGTGGCGAGGCGTTGCATGCGTGCCCTGCCACGATGTGGCAACATAAACATTGAACCAGCAACAGCAACAACGACCGCAACAATACCAGCCGCAACGGCGGAGTAGGAACAGCAGTCGAGTCGTAGCTCGCCCCATGGACAATTTGAAGGTGTAAATATTTTTTGGAAAATTCCAAATTTGAACTTTGAGTAGAAGGGAATTTTTGTATTTTCAGTGGAAGTGGCATCAGCACACAGGTTTAAATTAAGGTTTAGATTAAAGTTTACCAGTTTTATACATACATAACATACATAAATCTTTATGTACATATGTTACACAAAATCCCTAATCTTTGATGTCCCATAATTCATATTTCCCAATAGTCCATAGTCCCCAAATATATTATCACTTCTATTGCAGCCCAAAGAAGACAATATAATGGAAGGCCATCACCTGCCTTTCGCACTTATTTATCAGAGACTGACTGGCTGGCTTAATTATGGCAGTTACATTCAAATGAATAACGCTTGCTGGCTGCCACACTTCATTTCTGGCGCCCAAAACCAATGACCGGGCAATGCGAGGAGCTTCCGTTTGCTAACGACACCCAACGACAGCCTCGACGACAGCCCCGACAACAGCCCCGACGACAGCCCCAACGATGGGCCACAAGCAATCTCAAGCAGTCATAAACACGACTGAAGCACCTTCAACCTTGCAACCTGCGACTGCAACGCTGAAGCCTTAGGGACCCAGATAGAGGGGTGGGGCTTGGGCTTGGGCTTGGGTTTGGGTTTCCGTTTCCGCTGCAATGTGTCGCCGCCATTATGCAAATGCCTGGGCTGCCGCCCGAGTGGACAGACTGCTCATTCCGCAATCTGCATTTAAATGACCCCGACGAGGTGCGAGCACGCCCTGAGATTTCTCAGCATCATTTGCAAAAATATTAAAGGAAATTTTCTATATATACGCGTCGCAATGGAATCTTTTTTCGCCTCTAAGGAATTATGCATGACCACGCCTTTTGCTGCAGTTATCATACGAAATGAGATTCCGGAGCCGCGTAATTGAAAATCTCCCTTAAAGGCGTTGCATTGGTTGGCTTTTAGTGATTTCAATTGATTGTTTGTTAGATCTATAGATAAGGGACTTATGGGAGGGCATAAGAAGGAGATTCTGGGAGCAACCAATCGGCAGGTAATCAAAAGGGGCACTTCAAACCCACTTAGATTGGGGGGAAGAATCTTTTGTAACAAATCTTTGTTAAAATATTATACTTGGATCTTACGTATCTTGCACTCATCCACGCACATGCTTTATAGACTTCACATATGAAAGAGGTACTTATCCTGGGAAAATTCTCTATTGAAACGAACTTCCAGGTGTTTTTTGCAACATTTAATTATATTTAATCTAATTCTTGATTCAGATTAGTGCACCCACATAGATTCTATGTGCATGGTATATGGAAATCCACGCCCCAGACTAATTTCACACACGGCTAGACCGAGGGGAGTAGCAGCCAGAAAGAGGTGGGCTGGGACTGTGGCTGCGGCAGGCACAGAGTCTGGTAACAGGGCCAGTTACAGCAGGTCCCCAGACATTTTCATAACTTTGACAAGGTAACACACACACACACACACACACAGTCGCACAATCCAGGCATACGCACAGGGGAGACGGCTAATAAAGTTACACATAGTACACACACAACACACACAGACCCACACACACGCACAGTCGCATACTGACTGAAAGATTGTGTGTGTAATGCGTTTTGTTATGCCCCCCCCCCCCCCCCCCCCCC